AAAAAAGTTACTAACATTGTATTTTAGTTTTCTGAGAACGAAGCCGATTTTTCAAAGATCCTCTGGAAACCCGGTCTCTGGAATTTTTTCAAAAGTTGATTCCGCTTGTGAAAAGTTCTGCTCAAGTCTTGGCTATTGAACAGCGAAAACCGCAGGTCTCTATCTCATTCCTATCAAAAGTTATTCAAAAAGCAACCGAGTGCCAACCATTTTGAAACGGAGAGTAGTTTCTTTTATGTCACTATCATTGTTAACTGACAATCTTTGCCTTCAGCTTAACGATATAATGATAGTTAATGCATAGCAAGGATAATATACCATGTAGAAATTGCAAAAGTTTTTTGCGTAGTCACGCAAAAAGAAATGCAAGCCTCAATAGTACTGGAATCGGGTTACTCCACTGCATCTATGTCCAACGGTACCGAGATAATGAGCATTAGATAATTTGTCCAAGACTATCACGCGACCGCCGTGGCCGGGATGCGAACTCCGTATGTTTGAAGTACGTTGTCTACCCACTAGCCGACTGAGTCACGCTGCTCATATTATTTTTGCGTGGTGATTTTTTTTCGCCATTTTGTTCGAAAAATTTTCCTAAACAATTGGCCACACGTCTCGTCAAAAAATAGGAAATCTGCTGAGTTATTAAGTATGCTGAATATGAAAAAGCACTTTTTCACGACTCAGCACGAACTTTATTGGTCTATTGATGATATGCTTTTTCTACTGAAAATGTGTTTCCACGGGTCTTCGTATTTTCCAAAAGTCTCCGTTCAGATAGATGACAGAACTCTCGAGATAATCTTCAAATAAAGCTGATACGTTGAGCTACAGTGTACAAAAGCCCAACTATTCAGCTTTAGTCTAGTTGTGGATGAAGCAAAGGATTCCTAGAAAATTTGAATCAGACTTTTGGACTTTTAACTTATGACATCTAATTTCCGACCAGGTGGTTTATATAGAACTGCAAACCGAAGTAAAAATGGTAGTCTGGCCAATCTCTATTTCAATACATACACTCAGATATATTTGGAAGTTAAAAATCCTATAACTAACAAGCAATTGAGTCCTTTTTTCCTAACCCATCTATATCCAAGAAGAGATAGTGCCATGAAAAAAATGCCTCGACAAAAATGCCACAATGTCTCCCACAGACACTCTGAGTGTATGAAACTGGAATCCAGGCGCCATTGTAAGGCATGGTGACGCGTCTTTTACATAAAAATTTCATCTTACTGATATAAAATGAGGTCGTCTTTAACGCACCTGAAGCGCATTTTTTTTTCAAAAATGCATCTCTCTTCTCACAATGTGGACCAACTTTGCTCCTTTCTGTACCGATATCTCAGAACACAGACAAGTGATGGCAAAAGGAAACACTGTCGTCACCATACTTTGGCATTGTCAGAATTCTCTAAAAGTTTGATCAAGATAGGAATTATAGTTACGGAGACAGGATTTTATCAGGGGACCTCAAAGGGTTCTGGACGTTTTTCATTGCTTATCCTTCATTTAGAGACACGAATTAATCTACAGCTCATGATTTGTGGTAAGAATCGAAGTAAAATTATAAATTTCATTTACCTTTGAATAATGTTTTGTTCGTTGTTCTCTAGCGTTGTTTTCCTGGCCCAGGGAAAAAATATAAATGGTTTGTACTTGTTGCAAATCATGTATGTGTGAAATAATATTTGGTGCATACTCTTGTGAAACAATAAAATAAATTTTATCTTCTTTTGCTTTTTTCATATAATCTTCACATTTTTCAAGACGATCAAATAATTGAATGTAATCAATAATTGCACGAAACTCTTTTTGAATATCATCTACATCGTCAAAATCGTGTATATTTCGATCGAGCCAAACGATGGAGAATGTTTCCAAATTTTGAGAACGATCATAGTTGAGTGAAATATTTTTAGTTGATTTATTTTTTGTAGTTACAGTACTTGTTGATGTGGATGACTGCTGATTGATTGGTGGAAGTCGACCTGATTTTGGTGATATATTTTTTGAGGTCGATTTTGGTGTTGATGATTGGGGTTTTTGTTGCTTAGCACGTGAGCAAATACTGGAACCACAACCCATTTAACAGTGAATTCTATGAAAGAAAAATCTCTTACTAAATAGTTCGAAATATACGAGTTTAGAGCGGTCAGAGAATGATTAACAATGTCAAATCGTCTCCTTTCAACACTTTTCTTCTCCTCGAACGGATTACTCAGTCTTTCAGAATGCATGAGACTCGCTTATATAGAATAGTCTTGTCACTTTTGACTAATGTACATTCTTTACTAAATAGAGGCTTTATTAAACCACACCTCAATAAAAATCATTTTTCCACTAAGATGACAAGTTCTCATGACGTTTTCACTTGAATAATCTAACAAATATCTATCTTATACTTGAGCTCGTCATTTTTCGAATTATTACCGTCTAAATACTTTTTTACTATTTTTTTCTGCTCTTCTTTGTTCTCCTTTATTTAAAACAGTATTTGTACTACTTACACAGAAATTGATTCACAAATTTACGAATTATTATGTTACTGATTTTGAAAAAAAATTCTATTGTATAATAATTCGAGTTCTATACTAATTAAAATCAATGTCTTCTGATACTCATGTGTTACAAAATCCAAAATGAATTCTTCTTCGTTATTCTCGTTGTTTTTCTCTTCTTAACATGAAGAAACAACGTTATAATTATCGAACGTTAATCGGCACTCGAAAATAAATGGATTTTTTTCAAAAAAAAAATTATGCGTCACAAATGTGACCCACTATTTTACTATTTTTTTTATGTCATTGAAGTTACAGAATTTCTACCAAGTTTATAAGAGTGAGAAAAGAAAGAGAAGGAAAATATGGAGTTTCTAAGGGTTTCTTTTATTTAAAAAGCAAAGAATCAAATTTATCCTTGAGCGATACTGTAATTTGTTGTCAGTTTGTCGATAGTAACCGTCAGCAAGTAGAATCTTTGTTTTATTTTGACAAGCAAGCAGCAACAGAGAAAAAAAATTTCATTAAGGTTGAGAAATATCTATAAGTAAATTTATACTTATAAATATCTTAGTTTCCATTAAATATTTTATCTTACTTTGGAAAAATTCTTTTATAAAAGTTCGTTGCCGTACCGTGAAGTGGAATAACATGACTCAATAAAATATTATCAGCACTCGAAGTATTTGAATTATTTTATGCATAGTTAAGTCATTTTTGATCGAATAAAAGGCGTATTAAACAGATAGATCGATGAAATTCTTAAGTCTAAATCTACTTATATAAATAATTTTTGAAAATTCATTAGAACTATTTAACTCTAGTCCATTTCCTATGAATATTGTCCATTAAATATAATTCTTCGGTTTAAAGTAATCATGATTAATACGTTCAAAATGAACTTGAATAAGTTAGTTTCAACGAGAAACTTTGAAGACACTATTTAAAAGTGATATCATTGGACAGAGAATTTTTTGTTCTATTTCACACATAAACTTCAAATCTTGATCCTGCCTGAATTTATTACAGTACAATCCTCTAGAATTTTATCCGATCAACCTCAATATTTTACCATAAATATTTAGGACGATATCTCAGATCTAAAATTCTGTTTTTTTTTCAGCTTTTATTTTAGATATCAACTTTTCAACGTGTATGAATTTTTGTCACAAGATTTTGTAAGATCTTGTATTTTACTTTGAAGAATAAAGCCGCTTTATTCTTCAAAGTAAAATACCATTCGATCTTAAATTGCTGCCTAAAAAATTGATATCTAAAGTAAAAAATAAAAAACAAAAACAGAATTTTAGATCTGAAATATCGTCCTAAATATTTGTGATAAAATATTGAAGTTGATCGGATAAAATTCTAGAGGGTTGTACTGTAATCAAGTCAGACAGGAACAAGATTTGAAGTTCATGTGTGAAATAGAACAAAAAATTTTCTGTCCAATGATATCACTTTTAAATAGTGTCTTCATAGTTTCTCATTGAAACATTCTTTGTCAACGAAGAAAAATTGCCCGTTTACAATAGGCATGGAAAATTAAAAAAATAATATAACACCTGTCACATTTCAATCTTATGTTCACATCAGAAGCTAAGCATTCATCGAGAACAAAACCCAGTACTGCGTTAAAAATAATTGCCACTAGAAAAATTACTTTTAAAACTTTGCCACTTGTTCGAACATCAAAATAACGAAACAAGCTTCCATCTCATATCGTTAACTCATCCACATTATCTATTTTCAAGTATTCTCTAAAGGGCTATATTTGTACACAAAAAAAGAAAGATCCAAAATTTACATTTTAATACATATCCTTCTCATTCTTGTCTCTGTTGTTTATATCTTCTTCTATCATTCTATCTCACTTTTGTACATATTTTTTGATGATTCTCAAATTACTCTTATTTTTAGGCTGTTTCACACTTTATTCTTTTTTTCTGATGTAGCGTTTACAGAACTTTCTTAAGATTCTCTCTTTATTACAGTCATACATATAGCAAAATAAATTGAACTTGAACTCGAAACAAGGTTATTTAAATTTATTTTGAACGTATTAATCATGATTACTCTAAACGGAAGAATTATATTTAATGGACAATATTCATAAGAAATGGACTAGAGCTAATGAATTTTTAAAAACTATTTATGAGTAGATTTAGACTTAAGAGTCTCATCGATCTGTTTAATATGGCTTTTATTCGATCAAAAATGACTTAACTATGCCTATATTTGTATAGAAATGAGAGGAAAAAAAGAAAAAAATCTTGTTGAATTTTGTTATTGTAATCGTAAAAGAAAATTATGTAACAATGAATAAATTCTATATGTGTACTCAAAAAATTGAAATTTTTAATTTTTTCACTCTAATTTTAAACGTATTAGAACATGAATTTTACGAACATACTTAATGACTTTATTGAAACGAACATATAATTTGGCAGTATAACTTGAGAAATAAGTTAAGCAACGCTATTTATATTTTTGCACTCGATAAAAATATTTAGTTGTTCACACATTGTCAACCTGACAAATGTCACTGATAGCGTATAATCTTTGACAATTTTTAACAGGTCTCGATTTCTGCACGTTTTCAATGTAATGTATTCTTTTCACGTTCGTTCGTCATTTCATCATCATGATGCAACATTTTGACACCAAATAAGTTGTTGTAGTATCTAAGATTGTTTATTTGATAAGATTTTCATTTTATAAAAGAAACGAAATATTCAATGTCAATGGTAATATAAGATCTTTTTTATTTAATCTTTAATATTTGAAAACTCAGTAATCATAGATTTACTCTATAAAAAATTACTTCTGTAAACAATTTAACCTTCAACTTTACCATTTGAATTTTACTTTATGAGTGAACTATTGAACATATTTCCATGTCAACAGTTTTCAATAATAATAATGAGTGTTGAGATGATTGTGATTTTTATCATAGTTATTGTTATTACTAATATTTCCAATTATTGAAATAAAAATTAAACAATGAATATATGATCAAATTTCTATCTTATAATAAGTGATATAAAATGTCACTTATTCTGACATACTATATTCAAACTTTTTCAGATGAACAAAATCACAGCTAATTTATTAAAAGACTTGACTTTTATATGATTTATAAGTTTAGACTTTTGGAAAGATGTACAGTAAATCTAATCGTCTATTTGATTTATCTTATATCATTAGTCCTTTGTCTTTAAAATTATGTCTACTCTGTTGTTCTCTATTATTTTGTATTGCATAGGTGTTCTTTTTTATTTCAATAAGACAGCATGAAAAATATTAAATATGTACAGACACAAAATGTCTATCAGAAGACTTAAAACAGAAAAAATACACTCTATATATCTGCTTATCTAAACACAATCGAATAAAATATGTACTGAGTCAGTGTGTTAATTAAGCATCTTCCATTAGAAATTTATGCCAGTCATCAATACGTTTTTCATCATCTGCCGTCGCTTGGACATCATATTTGGTTTTACCTAAATATATACACATTAATACAAAAAATGAAAACAACAACAACAACAAAAAGAGAGAGGATACGTACCATCCCATATTTCGCATTGAATAAGTCTCCCATGCCATATTCTATTATTCATATATTTTATACATTCGTCAGCCTCAGGTATCTCAGTATAACCAACAGTAACAATTCCATCGGGATTAGTCTAAAAAGGAACAAAAAATAAAAAATAACTTTAGAAAGTAAAACAAAAGAGAAGTTTTTCAAAAACAATACATACATCGAAAATATAAATTTTTTTCACTTCACCATATTGTTCACAAGATTGTCGAATATTTGATCGTAATTGAATAATATAAGTTGGATCATTCTAAATTTTAATAAAATAGAAGGATGTTAAATGAATTTGACAGTAACAATAACTAAAACTGTAGAAATAGAAAGTGTTTAATATTACTTTAAATTGTTCGAGATCAAACATATTTCTCATAACAATAATTCTTTCGTGTTTTCCGCGTACAACATCAGGTCGTTCTTCCCAATCCAATAGTCTAAAGAAACATATAGAACAGATATCATATTAAAATATAGTCTATTATCCTTTTATACATTACACTTACTTATCTATTTGTTTTTGTTTTTGTTTTTTTTTATCTCCTTTTTTTCGTTTATTTTTATTTGGTTTAGGTTTCAATTCTGGATTATAATTTCCTTTCATTTCAAATTTAGCTCGTTGAACATGAACAATTGAATTACGTAAATGTAAGCCTTCTAATAATTGTAAACACAATGCAACAGATTCAGGCTGAAAAATAGAATTAATTATTATTTTAACAGATAATAATTGATCTACAAGAAAACATTTATTCTATACTCGAAAAGGTTGATTCTATCATCTATTAAACATAACTCAGAGATAAAGAAATTAATAGTATTTACTTTTAGATAACAACATCTTCCATCTCCTTTTAATTTTCCTTCGTTATCTCTGTATAATTTGACTTTTTTCTTCGTGTAATCTGACTGATCTTTTTCAATAATACCATATTTTGACATCAATTCTTCAAATTCTTTATCGTCAATATCATACGGTAAACCACTAACATAAACATTGCAATTTTTTTCATCAGGTACTTCGAACCAACCTAAAAATAAATAGAATAATCAAATATTTTATTATATATTAAACTATTTCACAAGTATTACTTTAAATTTATTTGATCGGCTCAGAATTTACACATTCATAATCATTTCCTTTCATATCTCCAAGGTAAAACTATATTCATCACTGCCGAACAAAATTATAAACGATGGAAAATTTTGAAATGTATTCGTATCAGAAAACTGTGCATTTAAACATGTTTAAGCATCACACTTAAAATGCATTGAATCAGAACTAAAGTGTTTGTCTGATCATGTAGTTCAGAAACACGGTCTAGTTTTTCATCAATTTCAATGCATAACCTAACATAAAATATAAATCGATCTAACGGAGGTTTGAGCCCGGGAAGTTCGCGCATGATGCCAAGCCATATACTAACTGAACTATTTTAATCTTCAAGTAACATGAAACTACAGAATAGGATGATTTTATGAGAAAATATCGACAGCAAGAAGATGACTTTAGCTACAATATCGATGCATACACAGTGACGTACAATTTTTCTCAAGAAATCAACTAAAAAAATTTTTTTTCTCCTGGAGAAGACAACGAGTAAAAATTTTCTGAGAAACGGATCATGGTCCAGCACTAGGCACACCACTGTATATAGCGATCTTCCGCATTTCTTCTAAAAAAGCTGCTTATTTTTTCCTACCTTCTCTTTTCTTATTATTTTGATCATCTGTTGCCGATGTTGATTGTTGTTCTTCTTCTATTACATCTGTAGCTTTATCTAGTTCTTCAATTCCATCTATATCCCATTTATTATTTTCTTGATTCCATTTATATTTGTAACCAGTTAAATGATCTGTATATGCATCGGTTGTACTTAAATCCATCCAGGATAATGTATCTTTATTCCATACGTATGTTCGGTTGTCTTCATTTTCAGCTGTATACGTACTAACGGAAGGAATAAAGGAATTTTTTTTTAAGTCAAATGTATATTTAACATTTGTTTTTGGATCGCTATACACTGTTCCATCTGCTGTTGACATGATAGGTACCCATTGACCGTTATCTTTATTTAATTTATAAGTTAGATTATTATTTCCATTCTCATCTTCATCTTGTTGTTTTGTTTCATAAATATATGTTTGTAATTTTGAATCATAACGAATACCCTTAAAATTTTCTAATCCATAATTCATATGGTGTTCAACTAAAAATTCTTCAGGAACCTAGAACTTAAACAAAAATATATACAAGAACACAACACACACAGCAGAAAATAATAGCACATGCGTTATCGTCTTATGAAAAAACGATGCTGATACGTCTCAATACTCTCTAATGGAATCTGTACTATATTTTTATGTGATGACAACTGCCGGAAAATTTAATTAATGTAGATAAAAACTTACTTTTGGAAACCTAATATAAGAAGAAAAAAAAATATTCAAAATAAATCATATTAAATTAATAAATGAAGTTTAGTTGTCTACGTACCATCCTTTGACATTTGGATCCCATTCATAAACCGTTCCATCTTCATCTACTTTTGTTTGTAGCTGTTCAGCATCCGCTTGTAATTTTTTCGTTTCTTCTAATCTAATTTGTCTATCAAAATCATCTTCGTCGTAATCATCCTCTTGCGGACGTAACTGGCGTTGAAACTGAGGTAGTCGTGAAGCATGACCAGAATGGAATGAAGAGGATGTTGGTTGATGTTTCTTAGTTACATGGGTGATAGTGTCATCGTTATCTGAATCCGTATCATGTTCAGAATCAGACATTTTTGTCGAGAAAGTATAATAATAACCAAAAATCTTAAAGAAAAACAAGAAACTGTGCATTATTTTCAAATGTTAGAAAAATTACAAGACACAATACACACTCAGATCGACAGACATGAGCAAAATCGTATCAGTCTTCTAGAGATAACAAATTTTACAGGAGTCCGATTCAGCTCTGCTAGACTCTAAAATCTCAGTACAACCACATCTCTGCTAAGTCAGCTTCAACTCTACTTTTGATCTTTGTCTATTTTTTACATCTTTGTTCTCTATTGTATACAGAAAAAAGATTTTGTGCGGCTTATAGTGTGGAAATTGAAAATGTATGACAAAAGTATTAAAAGCGGTGTGGTCAATTTTTGTAAGAGCCCGATTTAAAAATACGTTAAATGATCTGTGATGAGAAGAATATTTCATTTTTAGCTTAGTTCCATTCTACGAATATTGCTATAACCTGGTGTTGAAGGGAAGTTAATAAAAAAACAGAAATCTCAATTCGGAAGATAGAGTTATCTAGCTCTGCTTTTAAAAAGTTTTAATTTAGGTACTTGGAACTGAATCTAATATTTCATCTGCAGAAATCCTATCGGGACTCTGGACTAAAGAATAGTTGGTAATACAGAACAAATAAAATTCGTTGACGAGATTATCCACAAAGCATAAAATGAACAAACATATTTCGTTACTGAATCATAAAGTCTTACTCACACGACAAATTCGAACATGATTTCATCTCAATAATTTCGAATGTATACTTTAGATTCTGTGCCGATCTGTTGGCAGTTGATCATCAGTCGAATTTAAAGACACGAGAGAAATCAGGAGCAAAACTCTAATTAGCATTTCTAATAAGAGAGTGTATCCGTTGAAACAGAATATGCAGTACCATATATCATGTGAGAGAAAAAAGAATACACAGCGCACACTCCGAATTTTCAATTTAAACTTTGTTTTTTTGCCGATTTTTGCCAGTTTATGTAGAGAATTAAAAAAACGACGCCAAATGTATCACCGGTGATGCATCAGCAGTCAACGTGTTAAACTCATCATTATCATGCACTAAATTTATAATTATTTCTTATCAACGCCAGAACTGCTTAAACTTATTCATTCTAATCAAAAATATATAGTCAAAAAACAACGTGTCAATTAAAATCTAGATTAACATTTCTGTTTGTTGTTCTCTTGTGTTTTATGAATGAAACCACAAAGTGCTAGAGAAAACATATTTTTGACTCTCCATGCGTGAAGAAAGATGAAGTTAGACAATGAAACTGCGTTTCCATTTTTTATCGGCATTTCTGATCCGAGAATCTGGCAACTCTGATTCGGACTCCAATTCTTATTAGAAATGCTGGCTCTGTTTAAGCTACGCAGCCTATTGACTTTTTACATGCTTGCAATTAGGTGCTAGAATTCTCTCATAATGTAACTAATTCACAGTGAATGGAATGCCAATGCCTTTTGTCTATGTATTTAATATATATTACGAAAGTTAATACAGCTTTTCATAACATAATATTGCATGAAAAGAATTATATAGTTATGTAACTCTTCTATAATTTCATGAACCAATGAGGAATGAGCTAATCGATAAATACTATAGTTGCCATTGTGAGTTTACTGGTTTATTCCTATTTCAGTAATAAATAAATTTTATTGACCGGGGACAATATTTCTACTAGTAATTCTTTTCTGGTACTTATAAAATGCATTACTAACTTTCTTCGAGATAGAAATTGCTATTCACAAATACGAAAGCGATATTCTTATGATATGAGAAAAGGGTTAAGACCATCGAGCGATGCAAATTTTTCTACCTGTATCTCAAAATTCCTTAGCATTCTCCTAACAATTCACACCATTCCTGGTTTTCTGTACTGTCTTATTGCCACAGCGCTGTTTCAAGTTATGTTAAATTTTAGAAACTTTGTGGGAACCACTTCGCTTAGAAGTATTTAAGACATCTAATCAGAAACATATCAGTTAATCGTTGCTTGAGTCGCCAATAGTATGTTATGCAGAACTACTACTCTGAGCAGTAGCGCCATCTCTATTCTTAAGTGGATAAATATAACGAAAAAGTCAATAAACATACTAAATCAACGATATTTCAGACAATTCAGTGTTCTAGACATGTCACGAAGTCTGACTTAAGGAGAGGGCACTTGCAGTTACCCAGTATGGATGGTTGTTTGACTGTCTTTGTTTCGCGGTAAACTGAAATAGTAAGTTGATTATGGTTGTATCGCACCTGCCTCTGTTTTCACATAATGTGACTTTTTCGTACAGTTCACACGATTTTATTCTCTCCACAACTTTTTACTGTTGTAAACTTTAAAATTTACAATAATCATGTCGGATGCACCAGATGTCAATGATGTTGTTATTCCATTTGATTTTCCATTTGCAATATTAGGTGGGTAATTCATTTCTTAGTCTATGCATCACCTGAAAGAGAAAAGATCGGGGAAGATGAGAGAAAAGTAAAAGCCAGCTACTGAGGAGCAGATTTTGTATTGGTATTGTATTTGCGGTTATCCTTTGCAAATTTCTACTCAAACAGATGTGTATTGGAAGAAATAGATGTTTTTGTCTTCAGATGTTAAATAAAAAAGAGGTTGGATTACTTGTACAGTTTTATTATATCGATCTATTTACATTACAGCAGACTATAAGAACGAATTGGTGCGTGAATAAACTGCATAGGGGAGTAATTAAAAGGGAAATCTGTAATTTTTTCTGTGGTAGAGTGAGCGCTAAATTGAACTTATTCCCATGAAAAAACCTACAGACTAAGAAATTATTAGCTGCGCGCTGACAAATGAACCGCTTAAGTACAATGAAGTCAGATTCATGCTCGTGAGTGACAGATGGTTAAGTCCACGTCACGATTTGTACTCAATTCGCATTTTTTTATGACTTAGACTACTTAGACTTGAAGCAAAAGAGATCATAATCTTGAAAAAACCTTTAAGTCGGTCAGATAGAACTTTGCATTATTATGCATGTGCTTCTTGTATTTTTTATAGCAGAAAGACAAAGGAAGAGAAAAATTTGAGATTATTCTGGGAAGAACAGTTTTAAATTCACTGTTCAGTTTTAAATGTGAATCGGAAAAAGTGATGCCTAGTCATCTCTGCGTGAGTGACAACAAGCGAAGTGATTGGGATAGTTCGAACGTGTGAAAGCAAAGCCATCTTTCATAGTCGTATAAGAAAGAACTACTTGTTGCGGCCAGCTTTTTGATCAAAAAGGAACAAATCACTTTCTTAAAACGAAAATTTGGACTTTATTTCTACTATTTAGAACATCAGTATCATTCTGATCCAATGAAAAAAGATGTGTTTGCATTGGCCGACGGTCAAATATGTTACGGTCCACTATCACTGTTCGAATATAATAACCATCAAGAAAATAAAAGAATGTTCGTATTTCTTTTATTTCTGATATTTACCTATTATTTTATGTTTCTTCTAGTGGTTATGAGAATGTGAAAATGATCGACGAACCATTGAAATGCAAGGTGAGATTGCAGTTTTGTATTGAATTTCAGAGTATTATATTGGTTTCTGGTAAAAATTAGAGTTATATTGAACAATATAAGTAATTATTTCGTGAGGAGAGTTAATAGTCAAAAACAGCAGACTACATTATTTTCTTTTGCCCCTTGCTTTAAGGATTAGTTCTTCTCTAGGAATATTTTATTGTTGATAATCCAACAATGAAAGATGTTGATGTTATCGAAATAAATTCGAAAAATGGACCCATTTATATAAAAGAAATGCCCTTTGAAACGCAAATGATGACGTCAGATATTAGCCTAGAAACACCGAAAATTGAATATATTGATGAGCAATTACAAACTAGTCAAATGACGACACCGCTGCCAGCACCAGGTACGTCATTTAAGATAACCGATAAAAGTCTCTAATTGTCTGTTCGTTTTTCAGGTCGTGTTACAGAATTATTCAAAAACTTTGAAAACCGACTTATTCATGAAATTCAAGAGGTTAAATCAATGGTAGGATTAGTTTTTGTCTTTTTTCATTCTAGTTTTGACGTAGTTTGAATCAACTTTTGTTTCAGATGATGTCTGAGCAACGAACACGTCGATCGTTCTCAACAGGTATGTTCAAACAAAATTTTCTGCAGTAATTTTAACTATAGATCACTTGTTTATATTGGTCAGCAGAGCTCGTGCAACCCACTCATAGTAATCGAAGAGTATTTTTGTTACTTTTTCTGTGACTAGTCCTCAGATTTATTTCGTTTTGAGGGTACAGAAACAACGCCATTGTTCATGAATTCTAGTGCTTGGTAGAATCCCATCTTCACTCTCAATAGTTTCTGGACCTTTAGCACTGTTGTTTTTATTTCATGCTAGACTCAAAGGAAATGCAGCTACAGAATAAAAAATGTTCAAATACAGATCTAATTTCTCGTTCGCGTTCTCGTCCTAATTTTCGATCGGGTTCAATGTCCGACAATGAGATGAGAAGTGGGGGTGATTCAACGCCGTTGAAATCAAGTACTTACAATTATCATTTGAGTCGAAAGCAGCCATCAGTTGCTTTGCCACAATCAGCTGTTGTAAAACGTGTTACCGGTCAACATCTTCATTTATTAACACCGTTACGCAGTGCTCTTCAACCATCTAAAAAAATGCCTCAGAAAGCAACTCGTACCACTGGTACTGGTTTAACAACACCGTTACATACTGTTCACTCAACAACACCTGCTACTCGAAAAGGGATCAAATCATCCGGTTATGGTCAACAACAACAACCAGCTACAATAGCTAGTTTTAGACGAATAACACCATTAACACGAAAATGATAAACATATTCGATAAAAATGATATTTTCTCTGATATACCTTCTGAGTTGTATTATGTACATTTATATAGACTATATTAGTCAATGTTACCATTTTTTGTATGAAGAAATGATATTTTTTTGTGTGTTGTGAAATAAAATTTATTTATAGATTTGTAGAAAATAAAGTTAGAAGTGTGTTGATTTGAGGAAATCGATGTTGTTTTGACTTCTTTAGCAAGACTATCTGAAAAAGCTACAGTTCGGTTATTACTCGCTAATATACAAGAGAAAAGTATTTAGTGAGATTCGTTTTTTTTAAAAATCATGTGCAAGATCGAGAGCATTGTATAAGGAAGATGTTTAGTATCCCATGAAATAATTTAAAGTGGCTAACGATCGTTAGAATTCGTTAAATATGAAAATAATTATATATTTCATATCTAACACATTTAAACAGGTTAAATTCCCAAACTTAACGTGATCAAACGTGATTTCGAAAAAGAAACGATGAAAACTGCGTTCATACTCGTTTTACTTCTAAATTTAACGCGTTAGAGAAGTGAATTAACCCGTTAAATGTTTCATATTTAACGCCTAACAATCGTTCGCCGTTTCAAATTATTTCATGGAATTACACAATGGAGCTGATTCTTTTTCTATTGTTTTATTTTAATCCTTATTGTATGTTTTGTACTTTAATTAGCACTGCTTATTTTCAAAAAATAAAATTTATTAAGCACTTTTAACAAGAACGTAAATTAATCGTTTTATTAAATTTCATTTTCATATGAACTACCTATTTTTGTGAATAAATCAATTTGTGTTAGTTCATCATTAACATGGATGTTATTATTTGCTGGTACAGTAGTTACAGATTGTTTTTTTTCGATATTGTTTGGTGCTAATCTTAAAAACGAACGATGTCGATGTTCCTCATCATGACATCTACATCCCAATAGTTGACAATTAATACATCTAATTAGCTTTAATAATTCATCTCGAAATACACTACCGGTTAATGTATAAATATAAAAATGGATGGCATGATTTAATTGACCTAACGTTATAAATATGGCTGTTATCAATGGTTCGATACCTTTTTGTGGATTTAATAGTGATGTTGATGGGGATGAACGAAATGCACGAACAGTATCATTAATTTCGGTGGGTAATGTTAAGACTAGAAATGCTAGAAAAAGAAAAAAATAGTAACAATTGATGATTGAAGTTCAATATTGAGAAACAGACTTGAGCTAGACAGTATTCTTTGACTAATAATTTTATAAAAAATGAGTCTTTCACTGAGCAAGAATTGTTGTTGTTTTTTCCATACAAAACATTTATTTTCATCTCGATACTTACCTAATGCACTACCCAACAACATAATTGTTAATTGTCGATCTTTTTCGTGTCGTTTTCGAAATTTATTTTTATTCATTAATGTTGATGTTATTATTGTTGTGATAGAGCGTCTTGATTCTAATACACGAATAATAATTAATATATTACAGACAACCATAATTGAAAAGGGAATAACAACAGCTCGTAAAATATCTAATGAATCGTAAATTTCATAAAAACGACGATAGGTAAATGGTGGTGATAATGGTGTATTAGAGATGGCGGTAGTACTAGCGTTTGTTATATTCAAGCTTGCTGTTGTTTCGATTGCTATCGACGTTTTATTAATATTTGTTGCTATTTCTTCATTTTTTTCAGAGAATATAGGTGCCAAAGATGAAAAATCAAAAAAACTTTTGTCAGTTGCTGTACAACCAGATTGACCATTTGATGAATGAACAATTTCAAAGCCAAATAACAAATGAACGTTAATTAAAAATAATAATAAACCTAGAAGAATGAAGAGAATTACAGTGACATGTTGGTTCTGCCATTTTGAATACAGATATTGTAGACAGCTGCTGGATTCAACATGGTTTTCACTCTATACACTCTAGAAAAAATCCACCTTAAAATAAGACTGATGAGTTGATTAGAAATCAGTCGAATGCATTCGTCTTAAAGACGTTTTCATCCGGTTTTAGGATCTGATAATTTTTTGCTATAAATGCAGGTAATGACATCGATGAAAGAAACCGTTATTTGCTACTTAATAATCTTATGCTTTCGAATGATAATGATAATATGAAACGCACAAAATCGATTTATACGATCGAATTGATTGTAACAAATCGTACATATATGTGAGCAATTGTAGTTAATATTTAGATTATACCAGAACTATTTTAAAACACCCGTTAGGATATTGAGATAATATATACAAAAAGATTTTTTATTAGCAAATCTAGGATAGGTCAACCTCTTCAAGCCAAATCTAGGGTAGGCTCAAGTCTACCGTAGCCTACAGGCTTGGCCGCCTATGGCTGAGGCTCGAGCATACCCAAACTTCGTGGCTCCGCCGCCTATGCTTTAACATACTTTTAAACAAGAACTTGATCTAAATTCATAGTACCTACAATCAAACATGGTGAAGAAAGTCTGATGGTATAGCGTTGTTTATAGAGTTGTTTAAAAGTGGATGTTGGAAATTTATTTTTTTCTAGTGGATGGATACATTTTATTATTGTGTATTGTAATTGAATTAGAATCGGACACAAATTCAATTTAGTTAAAAACTGGCACTTCAGTTATTATGGTTAAAAATTGGTTGAAGGAAAAGAAGATAAAAAAGTTACGGCTAGGTCAAGTAACTCTGCAAGTGCAATGTCCTTCCGTACCGTTTTTTCTGCATTTTTGTTACTTTCATAGTTTTCGAACGAAAGTAGATCCAGAACTCTGCAACGTCGTAAAGTGAAGAGAAAAGTGTATTGGACATTTTGAAATGTTTCCACACTGTACATGATCTTTCGCTCAAAAGCTGAGATAAAAATACAAACACCTGCTTTTTTGGATAAGTTTTGAAAAGTAGGTGTTTGTATTTTTATCTCAGCTTTTGAGCGAAAGATCATGTACAGTGTGGAAACATTTCAAAATGTCCAATACACTTTTGTCTTCACTTTAGGACGTTGCAGAGCTCTGGATCTACTTTCGTTCGAAAACTATGAAAGTAACAAAAATGCAGAAAAAACGGTACGGAAGGACATTGCACTTGCAGAGTTACTTGACCAAGCCGTAAGGTGAAGCTATGGTAAGCTGGAGACAAGAAGAATGAAACATTATCGACCAAAAAATAAAGATGATTTGAAAATGAATTTTCTCAATGAGAAACAATATTGGTAATAGAAAACTTATTCATTTCAGTTCCTAATCGTATAAGAGAGTATCCTACGCGATAAAGAAAGGGTGCTGACTAAATAGAATAAAAAAAAATTTTCTTTCGTTTTGATATTAGCTATTTTTTGATCTAATAAAACTAGTGAATCTTCATATTTTTGAGACAATTTTATCGTTTGCTTTGAAAATTGACTCGTACAGAGAAGAGCTACGCACAATGATAAAGACTGAAGTTCTCTATGACACGTACAGCCACGATATCACATTCAACAAGTAAAAGATATGTGCGCTTTCTAATCAGTTTTTTTTTTTAATCATAATAATTGTTCTGCTTCATTATTTACTGTTCTCTAAGTACCGATTCTCCCATAATCTTATAACAACAGTGTCAATGTTTTTTACCTACCTAAAAAAATAATAATATAAATGGCTACTTTTGCTCTACAAAATAGTTTTGCTTTTAATGGACATTGTATACTAACAGCACGATCAATACTAGCCACAGCTAATAAATAATTTGAATAATCCGATGTAAAATAAACCATAAATGTATTTAATTTACATATGACTAATGATTTAGCTGTTATAGTTAAACTATAAGATGGTAAAACAGTATCGATTAATGAAAATGATAAATATAATAAATCTGTAACAGCTAAAGCAAGAAAATAAATAGCACATGATCGTCGTCGTAATACTTTTCGACTAAATACAATTACACTTAAACCATTACCAATCATACCAATAACAAAAAATGCTGTACAAACATATTTATAAATAATTATTTCTGTTATATAACGATAAATTTCATCGGATGATGATACGGGACTTTTTGTTGTTTGTAACGTTGAATCATTTATAGTTGTTGTTAGATTAGTAAATAATGTTGACTGTGTTAATGTTAAATATGTTTCATCCAACAAAAACGATTTTGGTAGTGGTGATAAATCATTCATAATGAAAACATGAAGTCATTGCCTAAAACAATGTAAATGAATACTTGTTAATAGACAAAAAACAGACATTTATTATTGTCATTACATATAAAAGGATTAAATACGATCTTCTTTTTTTTTTTTGTTAGAATTTCTTTTGTAAAAATAAAATTAATTTTCTTCGACTATTTTCTGAGATATCAAAAGCAAAATAATTGATAATTCAATGAGTTAAAAAAAGGTTTTATAATGTTGTTCTATCCTTTAGGCATATTTCTTCTCTCCCACTTTATTTACAAATTAAATATTGTATCTTTGTAAACGTACATAGTTAATTTCAAATTAAAATCAAACTTGACAATACTTGTAGATATAGAATAAAAAAAAAAAAAGTAAAAAGGAAATAAAGAAGGAAAAAATAGTTAATCAAAAATTGTTTTCAATAATTTACAGTTATTGTCTTAAAAAATATTAGCCAAATTTCTTCTTTTTTTTTTTTTCATCTTCTTGTTCGACACAGGAGAATAAAACACATTTTCCGAAATATTGGCTATATGCTATGCTGTATATGTGTGCGCAATAAAAACAAAAGAGATCTAATAATAATCGGTAATAATAAAGTCTATTTATTTTTCTCTATGTGTACGTGTATGTTTTAATAATGGAATTTATGATAAAGAGAGAGAGAGAGAAAGAGAGAGCGAAACAGACAGGAAACGGATATGAGTGAGCGAAAAAAACAGACATATAAAGTTGAACCTGTTTTTTAATGCTGCGATAATAGTACTTAACGTGTGGACACCGTTCTAGAGATGATGGAGACAATATTTTTAAAATCATAAGAGAGCAGTTAAAATAAGTTGTTGACGACACCGAGTGGCTTATTGTTAATAACACTAAAGAATAAATGAGAATAACATTTACTACTATGTAAATTTAAAACTCATAGGAGAAGAAATGTGACAGTACATTTAGTGCTAATTATATACAAAAAAACAATATATTTTGTGCTCTTAACAACAAATACTAATTAACTCACTGTAACTGTCTATGTTGATAAACAGACAGCAACAGTCTCACTTTCACCTGTTTTTTTTTCTTTTTAACCAAACATTTGATAATGATAAGTAAAATTGAAACAAAAAGTGTTGTCTGATGTTTGAAACCGATTCGTAAAATTAAAGATTATCACAAGTATCATACAATGTCTTAAAATTTTGAATATTGTCTGTAAGAGTATTAGGTCGTTTCATTTTCAAAATTTTCATCTGCGAAGTTTTTATGTGTAAGTTCGCAAATACAAATAAGTCAATCTATTTCTTGTATGCATTGACAAACTCTATCAACACGGTCATCTCTGTGTTATGTCAGTTATAGTAGCATTTCACGTTATCATCTAGACATAAACATAATAATTCTGTCTTATAATTTAACGTACCTTGCGATTGATACAATTTTATGTATTATGCAAAATATAAACTGAAATATAATAGATTATGATAAAATATTTATTTTTCCTAGAAAAAATTATTTATATATTTAACTTTTTATCAAGTTTCATATTCACATGTAGTGTGTGTTTGCTCTCGCGCCTAGATATGTGTTATTAGATAGAATATAGCTAACAGATCGTGATAAAGAAGAAAAATGGAAAAAGAAAAAGATATAGCTATTTGTCCCCTCCCCCCTTGGAGATAACATAATTGATCAGAATCGTTTCTATATAGATAGGGAAACAATTAATGTTTTTGTTTATTTCCTTTTCACTTTATATACGTGATAGTTCCACTTTTATAAATATTATACGTGATTTGTTTTTAAAACTAAGAATGAGTGTTTGTTTTATTATTATACTGAAATCTTCCGATATTTCGAAAATAAATTAAATCATTATGATATTACTCTATCGTATTTGTACAGTTCAACAAAAAAATAAAGTTCATACAGAGTGATGGAAAAGTGCTTTTTCGTATTTAGCACATTCGATAACCCAGAGAATTTTCTATTTTTTTGCAAGACATACTGCTAAAAGTCTAAGAAGAATTTTGAAATTAATATTTCCCATAGGAATTTTCTTTCGTCATTTTCTCCGAAAAATTTTCCTAAACTCTTAACAAATACATCTCGCTAAAAATAAAAAAATCTTCTAGGTTATCGAGTGTGCTGGATACGAAAAAGCACTTTTCAGCAACTTTGTATGAACCTTATTAATTTTTTTCACGTTAACATGTTTCTATGTTTTAGAAGAGTGAGATTAAAGTTGCTGTATATGATAGGTGATTATAAAACATTATATTTTGACACTCATTCCGAGTGGACACCATTTTCTCTCTCTCTCTCTCTCTTGCTCTCTAATTATTATCCATTTCAGATACTATTATAGAAGGGAAAGCCCTTTCCCTCTTCATTATGATTTATTTTGTTCAACATCGACATGTACGAATATATATATACAATACAAGAATTTATCATTTAAATAATGATTTCAATAATAAAAAGACAAAATAAAGAGAAAACGGAAAAATTGTTGTTCATGTAAAATAATAAGCTTGCCGTCTTCTCTCTCTCTCTCTCTCTATATATATATTGTTAACGAGCTATTTAACTAGATTGTTCTAAAAGGGGAAGCACATGTTTCCCTATAAGAGAAAACGATGTGTTGAAATCGTTAAATAAAATTACTTTGTCTTCTTTTTTTGTCGTTGAATATTTATGTTATATATGTATCTATTGTGTCGCTTTCATTCGTTACTTTATTTTCTAATCGAACAACATTAAGATTAAATTCAGTTGTGAATACACGAAAATGGTTGATTTCTTTCTTTTAAGTAGTAAGTTATATAACTAAATAACAACTGAAATAAAATTAACAAATTTTTAAAGTAAAATCGAATTTAATCGCATAATAAATAACATATTTTTGATAAATTTATATCTAATCTTTAATGAGATGAGACTAGAAGCAGCTGACGATATTTTGTGCCCACCGTTCTCCCGTGTCGAGATTTCATGTTTTTTTACTTTCTGTATAGTAAAAACTAATGTTTTTATCGAGATTTTGTTTTTCACTCTCTATGAGGCGTTGAGCAACCACAATGTTTTCACAGATAGATCTGAGTACTGGGTAGCGGTACCAAAAGTTTTAGCCCGCTCTACTCTCTAAAGATCTTGAGCGATCGCATTTGTTTTCACATAAACATACAACACAAAATAGATCTGACAGTTCCACTAATGAATATGATAGCTAATAGAGCTCCGTATGGACTCAAAATTCTGAGTCCAGTCCAATCCGAGTCCATGAAAAACAGTTTTTTTAGTCCATGGACTCTACACAAGTGGTCCAGTTCACAATAGAAAAATAACATGTTTTTTACTGATTATTCTTCGATTCAAGTGAATCCAAAACTATTTCTCGAGTCCAGACCAGTCTACGATCTTGAATGTCTGAGTCCAGTCCGAGTCCATGCGGATTGGACTATGGACTCAGTCCAGTCCATACGGAGCTCTGATAGCTAACAAAGAAGTGTCCGTAGCAGATAGCTTGTTGACACTAACTACAACTGATGAAGAAGGAGGAATTACGGTTTTTGTGAGGACATGAGCTTTCATCGAGAGTAAAACAGACTTGATGAAAACTTTAGAATTAGCCGTAATACTGATAGACATAGTCGCTGCCAAACCAGGCAGTGATAAGGTGACGAAGCATTCCAAAAGGAAGAGACTTTGAGAAGGCATGTCCGCCCATATCTCTCATTAGTTGAACGAAGGACTTACTCAATTAGTAATATTTTTAGAACAATGATACTATAGGAAATTTGGAAACAGAAAATTGCTGATTTATATTTTAATCCTCCGACTTCTTACCATAACATTTTTTAACGTTAATGTTTAGTGATGCATGAAGTATCCATAATACTCAATAGTATAAGATAGGGTTTCTCGCTTACGAAAAACTCTCCAAAATGAACCCCACTGTTCGTAGTTTTACGTCACTGTTTCAATGAGAGATTGTAAAATTTTGCTAGTTTCCCAATATAATTAAAAGAAAAATAAAAGTATTAGATCTAGATATCTTCTTATATCTTTGACTTTTGCTTTAGTTTGAAAGGCGATTTTTTTTATCATTGATGATTTTCGTCAGTGACAATTTCTTATATCTCTGAGCGAAAATATAAAGATCTCTCAAGTGCCTAATCTAATCTGTCCTTTACCATTAATAGATTTTTAATGTTTTCATTTCTCTTATATAGATAGTATATCTATTCCTTTTGTTCTCATTACTATTATTACCTGCAATAACAACAAAAACAAAATAAAATGTCATTATGAAGGTTATTGTCTCTAGAGAAGAATACAGGAGAAGACGAAAACATCCTTATACAACAGATAACAATAGAAATTTTTTTATGATTATCATCTTAGCTATCATCCACTAACGACTAAAACAACTATGCTAAAGAAAAATCTCCATAGATTATAATTAATGTATTTAAGTAGATTGATTTTGTTTTGGACAGGATGTATATCTATACATTAAAGATCATTTTATTACAACTAACTGAAAAGTGATATACTGTATATCATTCGAGTATGTTTATTAAGAATACATCTTCAAATGAAACAGAACAGATATTATACACAAACAGAACAAACATATGAAGAATAAATAAAGAGTTTTTCACTATGCACTTTTCGACGTATGATTTGTTTTTATCATACACTTCATGATTACCTCAAAAGTATTCTAAGAACTGTTAATCATGAAAATAAATATTTTTCACCCAATTGTTGTTTATTTATACACTTAATCATGTGATCTCTATATTGAGACTTTATTTACATAAATAATCTTATTTTTTCTAAAATACAGAGGATGAAAAATGTCATATTTTTCTTGTCGTCTTATACTTGACATAATTGACCAGATATTAGAATCTGATTGTACAAAATGCTTATTATGTTTAACTCCAAATCGAACTGATTGAAAATCATTAATTATTCGATTTACTTTCAACAGATTT